CTCCTGAGCACTTTCAAGAGCTTTTTGAATTTGTTGGCACTGGATCTGATGTTTAATTTCACTAAGGATTTAAGCAATTTCCATTTCTGTGACTGGTGTAATACCAACACTGCTCTTATACCCCGCAACCAGAGCCCACGATCAGGGCAAGTTTTCAGCTCACAAATGGAGAGAGGCATATCTTTCAATATGACAAGCATTTAGAGATGAATTATAGAGTTTGATGTGGGTGACTGAGACTGAGCTGAGAATAGTAAAAGAGACTAGGAAGGGCTTTAATGTTGGGACTCTAAGGTTTGAGGAGGGACAGGGGCCAGGACTAGGGTGCGGCAAATGAGGTGTCTGTAGTGCTGAATCTACTCCTTCTTGACCTGGAGAGTGAGTGCCTCTTTAAATGCTGTGCCCTGGGGTCTGAGTGGGGAAAACAGCAATGAGAGCCAGGGACCGACTTGACATTAAGGCTCTAGGAATCCTAGTATCAGAGGTCCTGGGTACAGGAGTTCGAACCTAAGCAAAGACTCTAAGGCTACAGATAAGAACACAAATATTCCATGATAGGGGAAAAAAGGCTCAAAACCAAAGTAGACTGAATATAGAAAGTCAAAAAAGGCTCAAAACCAAAGTAGACTGAATATAGAAAGTGAAAAAAGGCTTCACAGAGGAGACCTTCATTGGAATTATACAACTCTTCTCAGCCCAGAAAAGTGTGGGGTGAAGTGTGATAACACAGGTAGAGGAATCAGCAGATGCAGAGGCATGGAGTTGTGATAGTTTTAGTGGCTGGAATTTAGGGTGTGGTAAGAGATGAGGTTGGGAAACATGTTATGGAGGGCTGTATACACCATGCTGTAGATTTGAACTTTATTTCTGTGGACCTTGGGGAACCATTGAAGGTATTTTATGGTTGGAAGTTACATGGAAAGATTTGTGAATTTAAAAATTATTAAATATGCCCTGACTGGTGTGGCTCAGTTGGCTGGGCATCTTCACACAAAGCAAAAGGTCGTCAGTTCGATTCCCAGTCAGGGCACACACCTAGAGTGCAGGTTTGGTCCCTGGTCAGGGCGCGTATGAGAGGCAACCAACTGATGTTTCTCTCATATATTGATGTTATTCTCCCTCTTTCTCCCTCCATTTCCCTCTCTCTAAAAAAAAATTATTAAATGTTTTCAAATGTAATCATAAGTAAATAGTATAATGAACCCATATATACCCATTAACCACATTCAGTTATCAAGATTTCACCAGTTTTATTTCAGTTATCTTTTTTCTTCCTCTTTCCATTCTTTTAAAAAATTTGGTGAAGTATTTTAAAGCCAATCCCAGACATCATGTTATTTCACCCCTATATATTCAGTAGGCAAGTCTAAAAGGTACAGATACTTTCTTATATAATCATGCTGTCATTATGTTATATTACAGCATTAATAATTCCTTAATAGCATCTGATACCCAGCCCATTATAAAATTTCTCAGATTATCTCAAAAGATTGTCCAACAGTTGGTTTGTTCATATAAGGAACCAAACAAGGACTATATATTACATTTGATTATCTCTTTTTTTTTTCCTGCTTTATCGAAGTTGCTGTAGACTAAATGTTTCTGCCCACCTCCAAATTAATATGTTGAAACTTAACCCCCGATATGATGGTATTTGGAGACAGGGTCTTTAGGAGGGGATTAGTTCATGAGGACAGAACCCTCATGAATGGGATTAGTGCCCTTATGAAAGAGACTCTGAACCAGTCCCTTGCCCCTTCCATAATGTGAGGACACAGTGAAAAGAGGGTAGGCTATGTACTAGTGAGCAGGGTCTCACCAGACACTTCATCTGCCAGTGCCTTGATCTTGGACTTCCTTGCATCTAGAGCTGTGAGAAATAAATTTCTGTTGTTTACATGCCATGTAGTGTACAGTATTTTTTTAAAGCAACTTAGACAAAGACAAGGTGTAACTGAAAATTAAATATTGTATTACAACTTGATGATTTCATATAGGTATAATTTGTGAAGTATTTACCACAATCAAAGGGGGAGGGAGATAATGGGGAAAATGTTGGTCAAACGATACAAAGTTTCAGTTATACAAAATGGTTATTATCTCTAAATATCTCTGAATCTAGAGCAGCGTGTGCCTCACTTTTTCTTTTTTCTTTTTAATTTTTTTTCTTTTATTGATTCCAGAGAGGGGAAGTGAGGGACAAAGGGAGGGAAAAAAACATCGATGTGAAAGAGAAACATCAATCAGTTGCCTCTCACACATGCCCTGACTGGGGACCAAACCCACAACCGAAGCATGTGTCCTGACCAGGAATTGAACCCATGACCCTTTGGGTTTGTGGGATGGCACCTAACCAACTGATCCACACTGGCCAGGGCTCACTTTTTCTTTTTCAAGCCATTGGCTTCTTGTAGAAAGTGGGTCAGTTGTCCTGAGGAAAATCCCACATTTTGGATTTGTCTGTTTTCTTTCTTGTGTTGTCATTTACTTTATTTACCTATACCCCAACCCCATATTTTTCTATAATGGAAGTTAGCCTTAGAGACTGAGTGATATTCAGATTCACCTTTTTTTTTTTTTTGGTCAAGAATACTTCACAGGGGTTGCCATGTAATTCATTCTAAGTCACATGTCTATTCTATCTTTAATGAACAGGTGACAGATTTATTCAATTTTTCATCTAATGGTATAATCCTTTGATGATCATTGGCAGAATTATTTCACTAGGAGTTTCAAAATGGTGATTTCCTAATTTTATCTTCTATATTAATTAGCTGAAATTCTTCTGAAAGTAAACTTTCCCTCATCAACTAGAGCTATTGGGCTACCTGTAAAGGGAAGGCAGGAGAGATGCTTAATTCTTGATTTTGGACTTGGTTACCAATTTTCACAATAAAGACTTGGTGCCCTAGTTACTTCCAGTGATAACCAATGAGTTGTATGTATTTGTTTTCTCTCTATCATGGAATCATATTTTTTTTTAAAAATGTACTCAATGGGTTTCAGTCAATTACATTCATTATTCTTGTTAATGCTCAAATTGTCCCATCTTTTACCAAAGTGTTGCCTCCCATATCCCTCTGACACTACTCACTAGGGTTCCATAGCTTGATTCCTGACATAAAGCTTATATTTCCTGTCCCAGACCTGCCATTTTTAAGGTGCCCTAGTTCATATATATATGAAAGTTTTTTAAAGGTTTATTTTATTCTCGTTCAAGAGAGAGGGGGAGGGAGAGACAGAGAAACATTGATCAGTTGCCTTCTGTATGCACCACAACTGGGGACTCAAACCCACAATCCTGGTGTGTGCCCTAACTGGGAATTGAAAGTGACCTTTTGGTTAAAGGACAATACTCCAACCAACTGAGCCATACCAGCCAGGGAAATAAAGTTTATTTCAAAATTTACAGAGGCAGAAGAAGGGCCCTTGGCGCTTGGGACAGAGAAAGGTAAAGGTAATGAATGTGGGGGAAAGAAGAAGGAGCTGGGAAAGGTTCAGATGTGCTCCTGGGAGAGAAAGTGAGCCTATTTTCCTTTTTTAAATAATAGTTTTATTGAGGTATAATTTACACAGTATAAAATTCACCTATTTAAAGTATATAATTTAATGATTTTTAGTAGATTTACGTAGTTGTGCAACCATGACCACTATCTGATTTTAGAAGCTTTCCATAAGAGTACAAGATCTCTTGTACCCTTTGCCAGTCAATTTCCTTTCCCTCCCCTAGCCCCGGACAACTACTTACCTGTACCTGCTTTGGATCTCTGTAGCTTTGGGTTTTCTAGAGATTTCATGTAAATTGAATTATACACTATATAGCCTTTGCATCTGGCTGCTTTCTCTTAGCATTGTTTTTTTTTATTTTAATTGAGAGGTAGTTCACATATTATAAAATTCACCATTTTAAAAATCTATAACTCGGTGGTGTTTAGTATATTCACAAAGTTGTTTAACCATCACCACTATCTGATTCCAGAATATTTTCATCACACCAGAAGGAAACTCTATACTGTAGAAGTCACTTCCCATCACCCCAAACCTCCCAGACCCTGACAACCAGTAATCTACCTTCTTTCATTATGGATTTGCACACTCTGGACATTTCATATAAATGGAATCATACAGCATGTGGGCTTTTGGTCTGGCTTATTTCACTTAGCATATTGTTTTCAAGGTTCATCCATGTTATAGCACGTGTCAGTGCTTGGTTCATTCCTTATTTGTGTCTGAGTAGTATTCCATTGTATGAATATATCATATTTTGTGTATCCATTCATCAGTTTATGGACATTTTGGGTTGTTTTCACTTTCTGGGTAATGCCAATGTAAGAAATGTTCAAACCTGTAGAGAAGTTTCATGAGTTTATTTGAGTTAAACTGATGACATGCCAGGAAATAAGCTCTCAAATGCTTTGAAGAATGACACTTTTGTTGTTTCTTTTTATACCTTTGGAATTAAGGAATTAAGATGAACATGGGAGGAAAGCTAGGCAGGAAAAACTCTATGATCAGATTACAGGATAGATAACAAGATTATGTGCTCTCTTGAGGGTGGTTACCCTTACAAGGGGTCTGAAAAAGAGGAATTTCAAAGGTGTGTTAACCTAGTGCACAAAAACAATGGATAAGCCTTGCTTACGTTGAAGATAAACCTTTTATATGCCTGGAGCTTGACCACCATGACCTGCCCAGTTAGGAATTTATGATCAGATCGCCCTGTGAGGTTACTTTTGGTTAGATTTATTTTAGAACTCATTTTTCATTTATAGCAATATGTAGTTAAGTCTGTGCTTAACCTTATAAGAAATTGTCATGCTGTCTTCCAAAGCAGCACCATCACTTTGCATTCCCACCAGCAGTGGATGAGGGTTCTAGTTTTCTCTGCATCCTTGCCAATACTTGTTTACTGTCTATCTTTTTTTTTTTTAATCATAGCCATCCTAATAGGTATAACACTTTGGAAAACAGTCAGTAGTTCCTCCAAAGGTAAAGCTCAAGCGCTCACTTTGGCAGCACTTATACTAAAATTGGAATGACACAGAAGATTAGCATGGCCCCTGTGCAAGGATGACATGCAAATTTGTGGGGGAAAAAAGGTTAACCTCGGGGTCTGATCCCTACCCTCCCACCCCCAGAGATTCTTATGGTTTTGTTGCTTTTTAAAATGTGTTTAGTGTCTAGCCTGAATTAATTCTGTAGATTCTGTCTCCTCTTCAGTGTGTAGCCCATTGAAGTTTCTGCTCTGTTTTTGAAAAAAAAAATTTTATTTCTAGGAATCCTTGCTTCCTAGGTGCCACACCTGGGTCAGGATAGCTCAGTGAACAGTCAGTCATTTGGTAGAGGTTGTCCTTTAAGGGACACCTTGGGCCAGTGTTGTCTTCCATCCTTTGTCGATAGAATTGTGTGTGAGTTGGGAAGCATATTCAAAGTTCAGGAAGTTTTTAAGTTTCCTCTGATAGCTACTTTTTCTGCTAGGGCTTCTCATGTCTCCTCTATACCTGTGCAGGTCTTTACGTTCATCCAGGGACATGAAGGTAGCTAGGGCCCTCTCCAGTACCTTGTGATTGAGTGCAGCCTTGCAGGTACACATAGCCTTCCAGACCACCAAGGACAAGGAAGTCTCCCTTATCGAGTCCCCCTGGGGCTGTCTTGTTTTCTGGATCTCTCTGCTAATTTTGTCAGGCTTGTTGTTCTGTTGCTTGCCCCCAGCATTATTGTGACCTCAGGTAACTGTGATGTTGGTTTTCCTTGATCTAAGGAGTTTGCTATTATTTTCAACACCCCCGGGGCATGGGACTTTTTGTGCTCATTCCCAAACAAGTCATTCCAGTCCCTCAGCCAAGTTGTTGGTTTTTAGGGCTTTGCCCTGCCCTGTCCTTGTAAAATCAGCTCCTGTGGAGCTGGGAGAGGGGACATGAATAGCCCCTAGCTAAAACACCATAATTCCTACTGTTCTCACCCAAGGTTCAGTAGGTTTTCTTAAACACTTCTTAATGTATTGTTTAATTTGGGTTTATTTGCATAGTCCTGAAATGGTGGTTTCTAACAGTGTTATACAGTTATATCATTGTGTTTTTGGGGAGAAGACTTGCTGAGCTCCTCACTCTGCCCTTCCTAAAGTCCTGCTTAATTTATGTTTTAAAGGATCATTCTGGTAGCAGTGGAAGATCAGTTGGGTGGAGAGGAAACTGGTGGTCAGTAGTGTAGGATTTTACTCAGTAGTACTTTGTAATTTATAAATGGGAATGGAAAAATAGAAATAGTTGGGTTGATTTTCAGATGGAGAGTCACAGTATAAGGGTGGTGGAAAATCAAGGGGATAGGAGAATGAAGAGTGCTGGCTGCTGTCATTGAAGTCCCGCTGTCCATGGAACCTTTCCTGGGTAAAGGAGGAGGTGAAGGCCACAGGGACACGGTGCCCTTGGAAAATAGGTGAGAAGCTTGATGAATTCAAGTCCTTGAGGAAGTTGAAGGGGAAATTCAAGGAATGTAAGGTCTAAGAGATGTAGAAAAACTAGTAGTTCAGAGAGTGGATTCTGTGTTTGGTTTTGGAAATAGAGCCATTAAAGTTGTCACTGTAGAAATAGACAATTGAAATGGAGTTGAGATGAAATTAGAATCAGATTTGTCAAGGAGCTATTGACAAAGGAGCTGTTGACAAATCTTTTTTGTCAACAAATAGACAGTATTAATATAAAAACTGCTTGCTCTAAGGCTCCCTGCCAGCTAACCGACTTCCTACCTCCATCTCATTGCCAGGAATTATGCACCTCTGTATCCAGATTTGTCAAGGTTTGGGTGTTAGATCATCAAGGGGGATCATGAAGGCTTTCAGGATGAAAGGGGGAAAGAAAACGATTGTTCCCAAAGTCTTCAGTGAACGTAGGGGAGAAAACTGAATTTGACATTTAACATTGAGAGGGTGATAAAATTGAGTAGCATGAACTTGAAAGAAAGGCAGGCTGTTGAGGGAAGATGGTAAAATAATACTTTGAGGATCCAGTGAAGAAGATGCTAACCTAATCTTGATTTATGGGGAGAGGTGAGTGGAGGAAATGAGCAACCTCCAATTAAGAGCTCTGCAAAGGAAACAGTAAAGTTTGCGACACGCAGTGTTAAGGAGGGGTGATAGAGGCTAAATGAATGAGCAAGACCAAAAGCAAGAAAGTTTTAGGAAATGGTGGGTAGTTTTGTTTGTTTGTTTGTTTTTTGTTTTTTGCTTAAGCATAGGGTGCAATTAGAGGTATAATTATTGGAATCTATGTGGTTAGTTTGAAACTCGAATATAACTAGAGCCATTATTTTTAAAAATACTGTTAGTTAGATGATATGCTAAGGAAACTGAACTGATTTTGTTTATATATTAGGGAATTTTTGAAACTGGTATTGATAACTGGGAAGCAGTTTGACAGTTTTGGAATACTTTAACTATGACAAATGTGAGATTGGTGTACAATTATTACATTATTAATAACACCATTGGAATTGAAGTTGACTATAGATCATCATTTTCATAAGAATGTGTTCAGTACACTTGGTGACTTTTGGTCTTTCTGTAATTAGAAAATCAGAGCTTAAAAATGTATTGGCTTTTTAAAATAATATTTTTCTATGCTTTTCCAGAACCATCCACAACCCACAATATATAGAGGACTGAGTAGGATCTGCTTCAGTGTGAGAGTTTTGACCTCAATCACCCTGACTCTGTTTGACATGATTCTGTCTATATATAAGTAAGATATGTAGCTAGAAGAATAGGAGAAGAGAAAACATAAAGAAAAAATGAGACCGAATTGGAGATGTACAGCTCCGTTTTGAAAACCTGAAGATTAACTGCTGTGACAGTGATGTGGCACATTTTCAGTTCTAGCTATCATTTGTTATAAACTGAAAGAACATTGACATAGCTGGATACAGAGGTGCATAATTCCTGGCAATGAGATGGAGGTAGGGAGTCAGTTAGCTGGTAGGGAGCCTTACAGCCAGCAGTTTTTATATTAATACTGTCTATTTGGTGTTGGTTGATAACAGCAGAAAAAATATTTGTGATCACTCTGGGGACTTATTGTATTGATTTCTACTGTTATAATATGAATGTGCTTAATGGCTACTCTTATAAATGTAATATTTCTTTTTTTGTCATTCTAGCAGCCATCAGAAAAGAGATCACAGAAAAGCTATTGCCTGTACAGTCCTCTAAATCATTTGTGACATGGGATATTGAGTCCTCAGGCTGTCAGAATTCCAGTTCACGAGGCAATCTGTGTCACTCTGGTCTAGCCAGGTAAGCAGTCCCTATGGACTAGTTTCTTCTTCTCTATAAAAGAACAAGAAAGAAAAAAAGCAAAGAAGGTGAATATAGAAAAATATAGATGTGATTCATAGACCCTAAAGGAGAAGTTCAGGCCTGAGCCTTAAGCAGCAAAACAGAGTGAAGAGAACCTCAGGGGTTACTTATAATCTCGGTAGAGTGGTATCCATGAAATATAAACACTGGAAGAACTAAGTCTGTTTTGTGACCTGGCTTGACTTCAAGAATGAAGAAACTTAGAGTGAACTGCAATAAAAATATCTGTGAAGGCAAGATTAAAAGGAAGGAAGTATGCTTTGAAGTTAAAATAGATAGAAATTTAAGTGTAATGAAGTATCTTTTACAAATGAAATATTACCTATATCTAGATGATAGTCATATTTAAAATATTTATTTAATATTTAATAGTTAAAAGAATGAATACTGGCTCTTTCACTCACTAGCTGTGTGATCAATGGGGAAATTACTTACCTGCCTTAAACCTCAGTTTCTTTACCTATCAAATAAATTAATGAGTCTCATGGTTATTGTAAGAATCAAATGAAAAAAAATCTGAAGTATATAATATGGTGCCTGGTATGTGCTTAGAATTCAATATATAGTCACTATTAGTATGCGATAGAAAGGAGAGTTAATGAGATTGATGTTCAATAGTGTGATGAATTACTCTCCACAGGTAGGTACACAATTAGCTATTTCTTGTCAGAGCAGCTTGCAGCTTGGAATTTCAGGGTCAGAACCTCTTGGAGGTCAGGCTACAATGAGTGCTAACGAGGCCATTTTGAAGGAGGGTAATTTCCATTGTTCCCTGAGTTTTAACAAATTAGGTCCTTCCATACACTTTCCTGTCAGAATAATGCTTTTTTAAAAGATTTTCTTTATTTATTTTCAAGAGAGGGAAAGTGAGGGAGAAAGAGAGGGAGAGACAGCGATCGTTGCCTCTCGCGCTCTTCCCAGCTGGTGGCCTGGCCAGAATAATGCTTTTAACATTAATATTTTTAGTTCAAGTTACCACGAGTGTCTGTAATATGTTTGCGTGTATAACTTGGATTTTGAATTTTGGAGGAGATGGCAAAATGATGGACAGGTCAGGTGGATAGGCCATGCTAGATGAAAATAGAAGATGCTAAGAGGATTAAAGGTAAAGATTTCTCCATAGTTAGTGCAGATCGCCTTTTGGATCTAAGTCATTTAGGTCATTTGTCTGGGTAGAGTGAAGCAGAATGCCTGCAGTTGAAGGGATCCTAAAATAGAGGTCCTCATGTGGCTCTCTCGCCTGCCTATGGAAGTTAAGGAGGAGGAGATAAGCTTCTCAGGCTAGAATAGATAGCTTTTTATATGGACCTAGTTCTGTTAGGCCTCAAAAGGAGCCATGGAAGAGAAAGGTTAAAGGTACAGGATTTTTTGTTGTTGTTATTTCACATTCTGTTTGAAGAGTCTCTGATTTAAAACATTTTTTTTCCTTTTAAATACTTTATTTTTTAAAGCAGTTCACAGCAAAATTGAACAGAAAGTACATAGTGTTCCTGTACACGCCTTGACCCCACACATGCACAGCCTCCCCCACAATCAAAATCCTGCCCATCCTGTACATTTGGTACAACTGATGAACTTACATCAACAAATCATAATCGCCCAAAGTCCAGAGTTTACATTAGGGTTCACTCTTGGTGTTGTGCATTCTATGGGTTTTTATGAATGTATAAGGACATCTATCCACCGTTATAGTATCATACAGAATAATTTCACCACCCAAAAAAATCTTCTGTGCTTTGCCTATTTATTCCTCCC